CAATAAACCCTGCCATATTTGAACTAATAGAAATTAATGAGAAAGTCCAATCAAATCATTAATTCTTTGTTTAAGTGACACATGAAACAGCAAAACTGTGGAAAACTTCTTTGTAGTAGAAAAATCTTTGAAATATAGAATAGTATTTAACTTGTTTTATTGTACCTTTTGGAATATAAGAATACTAGAGTTACAAGAATTTGGAAATTCATGAAAGTAGAAAACAAGATTCAACTTCCCTGGTTTCAAAAGGAAAGCTAAATCTGTATTCTCTGAAAGATCTAGGAAAAATACTTGGCCTAAAATGAATAGATCCTGTTCCCAAATTTCTAGGATTTTACATTTTGGGGTGACGGTGATTGTGATATCAGTGTTCTCAAAACACATTTGCCTCAGCAAAGAGGATTTCAGCCCACTTTTTTGGTAAAGCAAACCTATCCATTCTGTAAATCAAATAGCCAAAATTTGGATTAAATTGAGCCCCATATTACAGTGGCAACTGGGATACTTTTTCTACTATGCAGTAACTCAAATCCCAATGATTGTGGGAGTGAAATGGATCCTAAACTAAATCATAATCTGTTTACAAAATCCCTTCTCAATGCAGACAACAGTACCTCAGATTTGTCAATGGCTTCATAAGTTTAGATGTTTCTTCATATATTATTTCATGTATTCACTGCAATAATTCCACATGGCTGAGAGAGCAGATATCATTCAGCTCATTTTACAAATAGGAAAACTCACAAGTGGAGATAGCCTAAGATTTTCCTAATGTCACTATGTGGGTATATTACACACCACATTTCATCTCACAGCCCCTACTCTAAAATTAGCAGTGGGGTCTCACTGGACTTAGTCAAAGTCGGAAGAGCTTGAAGTGTGGAATATGTTAGTGACAACAGTAAAACTTGAGGACCTCACAATGTGGTCAATTGATTTTCGACAAAGGTTCTCAGACACTTCAATGAAAGAAAGAATAGTCTTTCAAAAAATTGTGCTGAGACAACTGGCTATCCAAAGCAAAAGAATAAAGTCAGAAGCCTACCCTCACACCATACACAAAACTGACCTCAAAATGACTCATAGACCTAAATATAAAATATAAAACTTATAGAGGAAAACAGAACAGTAAGTCTTCATGACCTTGGGATAGGCAATAGTTTCTTAGGTACAACAACAAAAGCACAAGTAACAATAGAAAAGTAGATAAATTGAACTTCATTAAAATTTAAAAATGTTTTGTGCTTTAAAGGGTATCATAAAGAAAATGCAAAGGTAACCCACAAAACAGGAGGTAATATTTGCAAATCAGATATTTGATAAGGGACTTGTATTCTGAATATGTACAGAAATAATACAATCTAGTAATTAAAAGACAAATGACCCAATTACAAAAGGAGCAAAAGATCCGAATAGTCATATCTCCAACGTAGATACACAGCTGTCCAGTAAGTACATGAAAAGATGGTCAGCATCATTAGCCATCAGGAAAATGTAAGTCAAAACCACAGTGAGATACTACTTTACACCCACTAGGATGAATAAAATTAAAAAGACAGACAATAACAAGCATTAACAAGGATGTGGAGAAATTGGAACCCTCATGTATTTCTGATGGGAATATAAAATAATGCAGCCACTTTGAACAATAGCTTGGCAGTTCCTTAAAACATTAAACACAGTTATGCGACCCAGCAATTCCACCCCAATATCAAAGAAAAATGAATATATATTGGCACACAAAAACTTGTACATAAATGTTCATATCAATATTATTTATAGCAAACAAAAACTAGAAACATCAGTGTGCATCTATTAAAGAATAGATAAACAAAAAGTGGTCTATTCATACAATGAAATATTATTTGGCATAGAAGGGAATGAAGTACTGATAAATGCTACCACATAGATGAACCTTGAAAACATTATGCTAAGTGAAAGAAGCGAAACAAAAAGGATTATGTATTATTTTATTCCATTTGTATGAAATGTCCAGAACAGGCAAATCCATAAACAGAAAGTAGGCTAGTGATTGCCTCGGGCTGGAGCTGGGGCAGGTAGGGAAAATGTGGAGTGACTGCACACATTATGGGTTTCTTTTCTGGGCACTGAAAATGTTTTAGGCTTAGATTATGATGACAATTGCACATGAAATCATCTGTGAATACACGAAAAACCACAAAACTGCACATTTTAAATGGACAAATTTTATGATATGTGAAATATATTCCAATAAGGCAGTTTTAAAAAATCAATTCCTGGCCAGGTGTGGTGGCACACACCTGTAATCCCAGCACTTTTAAGAGGCCAAGGTGGGAGGATCACTTGAGCCCAGGAGTTTGAGACTAGCCTGGCAACATAGCAAGACCTCGTCTCTACAAAAAAATACATTTTTTTAAAATTTAGCCGGGAGTCATGGCATATGCCTATAGTCCCAGCTATTCAGCTATTCAGGAGACTGAAGGGGGAGGATTGCTTGAGCCCAAGAGGTTGAGGATGCAGTGAGCCGTGATGGCACCAGTGCACTCCAGCCTGGGTGACAGAGAAAGAGCAAGACCCTGTCTCAAAAAAAATCAACTCCTTTCCTCCCTCCCCCTCAAATAAAACAATCCTTAGGACATAATTCTGTGTCTACACAGTCCTTGGAAATTCATCCATTGCCTGCATATCGAGTGATTGCTAGTAATAACTACTTGCTCCATTACGTTTTTGCCCTGTCTCTTCTTGGAAGGTCATTTTCCCTATTTATTTATTCAACAAATATTTTTTGAATGCCTATTTTGTGCCAGACATGGCACCAGTTGCTTGGGATAGATACCTTATTTAATACAACAGCTGAAGATCCCTGCGCATATGGAGCTTACGTTCTATCAGATTTACCTGGTATTCTCAAGTACAACTTATCTCTTCGGGTTTATTTCTAGTAGATACTTTTCAAGTCTGGGGTCTGACAAAGAAAAACTAGAGCTGGACAGTACTTAAAGCTGTAAAAACAGATTTTATTCAGGACTATTGTAGTAAGGGGAAAGAGACCTCAGTATAGAATGGGACTCAACTCCCAGTGTCACGTGGACCAGTGGGAATTTACAGCCAAGGAGCAGGGTGGTGGTAAGTGGATGGAAAATTACTAAGAGGAAACATCAAGGGTAAGGGGGATTCTGGTTAAACCGATCTAAAAGGATTCTTGCTGAAGGTAGGCCAAGTTGATCAGACATTCCCCAGGGCATGGTGAAGGATGAAGAACCCAATCAGATACTGAGAGTGATCAGATATGGAGATGGAGGATTCTGGCTAAACCAACTCAGCAGGGTTCTTGCTAAAACTGGTTTACAAGGAAGTGCACAGAAGGGCCCAGGAGAAAGTTCAAGACTAAAGTTTGGTCAAGCAAAGAAGCTTTGTCAGTGCTACTTTCTAGAAATTTTACTTCCTCCATCATAATGTGCTTATGTTATCAATATAGTCCCATCCTTTTCATAACTCAGTTGTAGTTAGTTATTAAATTCAGTAGGAGGTCAAAAGGAAACACAAGAAATTTACTGAGTGTAAGTTTCAAGAAAATATGTCAATAGACAGCTAAATTTATTTGAGAAACCTCAAGGGGAACTAGAAATGATGACATAAAAGAACGATAAGAGAAATGAAGCCTAATGATTATCCTCCTTGAAATATTAGCCTGAGTTCTACATTTGTACTTCTCAGTCAATGCATTTTTAATTTTTTTCTTTGTTCATTAAACAAATACTTAGCAAATAACTCTGTCTGCTAAACTGATGCAGGACATAATCTCATGGTTTACTGCAAATGGCCAATGACCATCTTCTCAATAAGATGTCTTGAGTAATCTCTATGTTGTGTCTGAACAATGATCATGAATAAAATTCAAGGAATCCTGGGCCTCTGGAAACAGGACATGGTTTCTGTGAACAGCCATCAGTGGATTTTTATCTTGAACTCATGACCCTACTTCCAGTTTATCTCATTCATAGAGAATGAAATTACTCCAGTTAAAGTCTTCCAAATCAAAAAGGCTAGGGACTGGGCCATGTCTCCTCCCTGAGATATGCTAGAATAATCAATGCCATTGTCATTCTTTGTAACATTGCAACTTCTCCTGCGGCTGTGTTAAAATAATAAACCTCATGCCTGCTATCTCCATCTCACACAGCTGTGGTTTCTGGGTTTCTGTTTGTGAATAAGCATTTCAGAATTGTCATGAGATGGAGGAAATAGCATGTGCAGAGTATTTCCCAGGCCTAGTTGCCAAGAATGAGCTAATTGTAAGCCTCCCTTGCATACGAGTCACAAAAACTTCAAATACAAGCCACTCTGTAATGATCCACCTTTCCATGTGAATGGTATTCTTTCATTGTAGAACCTTGATCTTTCAGAATTATACTAGGAGTATAATTTTAAATTATGTCATAAGATTAATAAACTATTGAACCATCTTTTGGTGCTTTATTTATGTTTTATAATGATTAGATACAAAATTGATGTTTGTATTTAAAAGAAATGTTAAATAAATGTGATACAGTCTTGCTACATTGCTTATGGAAAATTTATCTAAAAGAGATTGATAGTAATCTGTCCTCCATAAAAGAATGATATTGGTTGTTTTTTTAACTTACATTTTTTGTGTTTAACAGGAAAAATTTGATACTTTTTTAAAGTATAAAAGCAGGAATTGCAAATATATTTCACATGACACATCAATTTCCAACTAATTGGTAATGGCTATGTACATATTATGTTAAAGATTCTGCAGCTGAGTCTGGCTTAGTACAAAAGACTGCTGTCACTGGATAATAATGTTTTCCAAGGATGCAAGATAGGAAGTGGCCATGTAAGTCCCATATTTGCCATCCCTGCATAATCAAAGAGTTAACATTTAAAATATATTTTCCGAGATTACTAGAAACATCCTAGTGTACATTAAAAATAGCATTTAACTGAAAACAAAGGCCAAATTAACACTTACCATTGTACTTATCCTGTAGGTCAATGCATCACGTCAAGAAGCCAAATTGACAGAGGAGTGTGATCTTCTTATTGAGATCATTCAGCAAAGACGACAAATTATTGGAACCAAGATCAAAGAAGGGAAGGTATGATTTCTAGGGCAGAAGATTTCATATTCCATACCTGGAGAAAATAATTCCTAATATATTCCAGGGGCTTCGGAAATGTTGAGAACCCTCTTTTTCTATACATTCTATAATTCCCTCTTAAGTCTTTAAGACTTAGTTAAAAGGCCTTTGCTTGGCGGTTTTTTCTCCATCCTTTTCTTTGTACTATGGTCTCCTGTGAAGACCTGTGATACAAGGGCTGCTCCGTTGCCCAGCGCCAGGAGGTAGCATAATGGTCTTGTCTATCATAGCCATTGTTTTCTATCTCACTTGTCTATGAGAAGGTGGGTTCTGTGGAGGCAGAGTTCATTTTGTATTCATTGTGATATCCTCGCAACTAGCATAGCATTACATAAATTAAAAATGAATCTGACTTTATTTATAGAAATTATGAAGTACTTTCCCATGTTTTTGAGGAAATGTATACAGATATAACTTCATGGTCCCAAAACCCCTGTGGTTTCACTATATCATATACTCCATTGCGGATATAGTAATGGTAGTGCTTCTTTTCTAATGTTTCTATATTTTAATTTCCTATTGTTCCATAGCAAACTATATTTTTAAGAGAAATTTACATACATTCTTTATAGCCAGTTTCTTATTTATTCAAAATTCATTCACAAACTGTTGGTCACTTTAGAACCCATCGATTTATTCTATTTTAAAATTAGTCATGTTTTTATTGAAATACTTATGATCCTTTTTATTTTACCCAATTCTCTGCCACATTCAAGGATAATTTTTTTCTTTCTTTCCTTCCTTCCTTCCTTCCTTCGTTCATTCGTTCGTCTTCCCTTCCCTTCTTTCTTTCTTTCTTTCTTTCTTTCTTTCTTTCTTTCTTTCTTTCTTTCTTTCTTTCTTTCTTTCTTCCTTTCCTTTCCTTTCCTTTCCTTTCCTTTCCTTTCCTTTCCTTTCCTTTCCAGTCTTTATCTGTCACCCAGGCTGGAGTGCACTGGCACAATCATGGCTCACTGCAACTGCCGCCTCCCAGGCTCAAACAATCCTCCTGCCTTAGCCTCCTGAGTAGCTGGGACTACAGACATGGGCCACCACACCTGGCTAATTTTTATATTTTTTGTAGAGACAGGGTTTCACCATGTTGCCTAGGCTGGTCTCGAACTCCTGGGCTCAAGCAAGCCACCTGCCTCTGCCTCCTAAAATGCTGGGATGACAGGCATGAGCTACTGTGCCTGGCCAAGGATAATTTTTCTAAGGATTTTTAAAAATAGAAGCATTTATTTATGATCCAATAAATTCATGCATTTCTATCATTGTTCATAGCTGTACTTTAAAACAAAATATGTATAATTAAAACATACTAGCAAGTTTTAAGTGAAACACAGAGATAACCATGGCTAATGTAAGTGGTTTTCTCTGTTTTCCACAAAATTTAACAGGTACCTTTTAATACTGTACAATGTTTTACATTACTCTGTCTATATAGATTACAAAATATTTATACACATAAATTATTAAAATGATCTGAAAAAATAGTGAAATCAAATAGTTATTGATGCTGGTATTGTAGATTAACAGATTAACATGAAATTATTCCCTGGCCAAGGACTCACATGTGCTGAAAAGCTACTTTTCCCCACATACTAATTGTCCAATTTAGAAGAGCACTAAGTGTCCATCTGGAATCCTTACAGGATATATTTCCTCTTCCATCACCATCGTGCATCACATGTGCACATCTCTTAATTCCAGAAATATTCCAGGTTCTCAGACACATGGCCACCTGAAGTACAGTCAGAAGTAATTATTCATATGCATACAGAAGGTAATTTGCTATCTTTACATGGTTGCATGCAGAGATTAGCTCTCAATACACATATTAGTTTATTTTCATTTTTAATTTTAAATTGACCAACAGTTATATATATTTATGGGGTACAAAGTGATATTACAATTTATGGATGAAATATGGAATAACTAAATCAAGCTAATTAACATATCCATCATCTCATAGCCTTTTTTTGTGGTGAGAACATTTGAAATTTACTTGCTTAGTGATTTTGAACTGTACAATAAGTTATCATTTATTTGCTGTTTTCACCATGCCATGCAATAGATCTCAAAGTAAAAAATAAATAAATATATATATATAATTTTTTTTTAAAAGCACTTACTTTTCCTCTCTAATTGAGGTTTCGCACCTTACTCTTATTAGTTTCTTATGGCTGCAATAACAAATAACCATAAACTTGGTGGCTTTGAGACAACATAGATTTATTATCTTAGTGTGCTGAAATTCGGAAATCCAAAAATCGATCTCACTGGGTTAAACAAAATTGACAGTCAAGGTTTTGGCAGTGCTGTTTCTTTCTGGAAGCTCTAGGGGAAAATCCATTTTTTCTTGCCTTTTCTAGCTCTTACAGGTAGCCTGCATTCTTTGGCTCATGGTCTCTTTGCATCAATCTGACCTCTCTTCCCATCCTCATGTCTTCTCTGACATAGGCCTTCCTGCCTTCCTCTTATAAGGACCCTTGTGACTACATTGGGATTACCTGGATAATTCAGGGTAACATCCCTATCTCGTGATCCTTAATCATGTCTGTAAAGTCCCTTTTGCCATGTAAGTAACATATTCAAAGATTCCTGAGATTAGGATGTGGGCAGCATTGAGGATCCTTATTCAGCCTACAAGGGCACTCCACCACAACTTCCTGGCTAGCTTGCCTTCCCTTCTCTTACTTAGCTTGGACTTCCCACCACCAGGGTTTCTCTCATGAGCTAGATCAGAGTAGTGCAGGTGTCCCCAAGTTCCAGCCATAGTAATGCATGGAGTTTATGCTTTGGTGCACTCGTTCTACTCCAGATACATGTCAGTAATAAAGAACATAATAAAATGCAAAAGCAAAGAGATATAGCTGGACGAAAAACAAGATAAACATCTCCACAGGCCAGAAATGAGACAAAACTGAAAAGCCATGACTGTGGCTGAGGATACAGGCTACTGGGATTTGGTCTGGAAGAGGCCAAAGTAGCTTCGGCTTCAACTCCTGTGGATAAATAGTTCTTGAAGCTTTGGGGAAAGGACCTAGAAGTGCTCCAGATGGGATGAGGAATGGAAATCAGGCTCATTATTTGATGCCATGGGCTGTAGAAGGCTTCATGCTTCAGTCAAAAAGTATTGCCAACCTCTCCCTCGTATCATAGCTTTTAGCAAAGTCACATTGTTAGCTTAAAGCCTGTGTTCGCACTGTTTCTGATACCCACACAGAATAGGAGCACAGAGATAAGGATGGAATTCCTGAATAATGACCTCAAGGGCCAGGTGAAGGCAACTGGAAAACTATCAGAGCAGGGTAGGCTGAGCAAGGAGGGTGAGAGAGGAAAGAATTAGAAATTACTTCCCTTTAAAACTGAAACTCTTAAGTTTAATTTCAAAGTATATAAAGAAATCTTAAATTTCTAAACATTCAGCCAGCAAAACCAGCAGACAACATTATCTTACCCCAGATAAAATTAACTTTATAGGAAAATAAGAAAAAGACTTTAAAAGAAGTAGTCTTAAGATGTTCAAAGAAAGAAATGAAGGAATAACTTCTCTTTCAAAAGAGCAAAAAAAGTGAAGCTACAAAAGAAGGAAATGAAATAAGAAAAAATATATAGGAAAGCTACAAATTAGCATATTGGGAGGGAAAAATGTAGATATTGAAATTAGAAAGATATCTAATCCAGCTGCAGTGGAAATTTGGAAACTGAGTTTTGGTCACCACCTTGGGAATGCCACAAAAAGCATTCTTTTATGTCTGAGTGACATTAAAGTTTGGCAAATGCCCACTGAGTTTGAACTCAAAAAATAGGAAAGTATATATGAAAACCTACGCATGGGGCATTTTTAAAATAATAATCATACACTTGGTTGAAAGCAAGTATTTCAGCAAATTTCAAAAACTGAATACCATAGAACCCTGCCTCTAAGACCACACACTGTATCTCATTAGATATTATCAACAATAAAATAGGCCGGGCACGGTGGCTCACGCCTGTAATCCCAGCACTTTGGGAGGCCGAGATGGGCAGATCACGAGGTCAGGAGATCGAGACCATCCTGGCTAACACGGTGAAACCCTGTCTCTACTAAAAAATACAAAAAACTAGCCGGGCGAGGTGGCGGGCGCCTGTAGTCCCAGCTACTCGGGAGGCTGAGGCAGGAGAATGGCGTGAACCCGGGAGGCGGAGCTTGCAGTGAGCTGAGATCCGGCCACTGCACTCCAGCCTGGGCAACAGAGTGAGACTCCGTCACAAAAAAAAACAAAACAAAACAAACAAACAAAAAAAACCACAATAAAATAATAGTTTCTATAGTTTTTAGAAACTAAAATCTATTCATATATAAATATATCTTCACAGTAATATTTTTTTAATGTAGAAGTAAACCACAGTGAAAGAACTATAATATATCATAAGTAGTAAGCAGCAAAAAAGTATTTGAAGGCAAACTTACAGGCTTTAATTCTTTTGAAAAAGAGGCTGGGCACAGTAGCTCACACCTGTAGTCCCAACACTTTGGGAGGCCGAGGCAGGAGAGGATTGCTTGAGTCCAGGAGTTCAAGACCAGCCGGGACAACGCGGCAAGACCCTGTCCCCTGCCACCCAAAAAAAGATAATACTAAAAGTAAAAAATTAGCCTTCAAATAAAGCTAGAAAAAACACAACCGGATAAACCCAATGAAAGCAGAGGAAAGAAATAAAGGAAGAAAAGTAAATGAAAGAAAAACAGGAAACAAACAAGAACAGCTGTCAGCAAAGAACATCTCGCAGCCTAGTTTTAAAACATCTGTGAGTAAAAAAAGTGCCTTTACCCCCATTTTTAAAAGGTTGTTTAAAAAGTAAAGAAAAACAAACAATATATGTATGACAGAGACAGTATGTGGTCTTCAAAGCCTAAAATATTGATTATCTGGTCCTCTACAGGAAAACTTTGCCAGCCCTTAATCAGGAGGAGTTTTACTTGTAAAAAATAA